AATTCCCCCCGGGCCGATGGGAAAAATTTTTCCCCCCGGATTTTTTTTTTTTTTTCCTCACATGGCTGACTGCTGCTTCCTCCGTGCAAAACCGGCACCACTACTGGCCGTGGGGGTAGGTGCAGTGGAGAGGGTTTGCTTTTACCCCGTGGCCGTTTCCCCTCCACTGACACTGCGGGCAACCCTGGCCTCCGGGGCCAACCCCCAAATGTTTTGCTCGCTCCCAAAGCTGCCCCCCTTTTTCCCTGTTTATGCGGAAGCAATACCCCTGATGGGACGAGGCTCCCAAGGGGCGATCCCCTAAACATCATAAATTTAGGGCCCTCCGCCCCCACTATAGCCCCCTCGGCGGGGTGGGTCAGGAGGGACAGACCTGCCCTCAGCCGGGGTACCGAGCCACTCTCCCGCCACTACTTTTTTCGCCTGGCTGCTGAAAAAAGGCGGATGTCCCCCCCTTTCCCTTTGACCGCCCTCTGTTACTCTTCCTCACTTTTACATTTGGGGCTGACCCACAGCAGCAATATTTTTCCCTTGGGGGGGAAACCCCAAAAAGGCGGGGGCCCGGTAGAGGACACGTGATTTTCATTTTTTGGGGGGCCTTTTTGGGCCCTTCCCGGGGCCATGCCAACTAATTTTTTGTGTTGACGTACCCACCGCCCGTTGGCTTTTGGTTCAGAGGTGACCGGGGAAGAGGAAGACCCCCGGCCCAAAACCCAATCAAAGAGGCGGGGTTTGTAAAGGGTGGGAGACCGACCGCTGGATGACCCCGGGGGAGCACGGGCCTCGGGCCCTGCGACTAGTGTTTCCTCGACCCCTTTTCCTCTGCGCCACCAAACTCGCCCCTTTAAAAAACATTGCCCCCCTCTGCCCCCTCCTCTGCATGTTTCTACATACTCTTTTTTTTAAAACGATTCTGTGCCCCTGGGGTTAAAAAAATTCGTGTCTGTCCCTGAGAACAATTCTGTGTCCCTGGGGGTAACAATTTGTGTCCCTCGTAAAAATTCTGTGCCCCCTCAGAAAAATTTCGTGCCCCCACAAAACAATTCTGTGTCCCTGAGTAACAATTCTGTTCCCTGAGTAACAATTCTGTGTCCTCGTAAAAATTTCTGTGTCCCTCAAAAAACAATTCGTGTCTGTCCCTGATAAAATTCTGTGTCTGTCCTGAGTAACAACCCTGTGTCCCTCAGAACATTCTGTGCCCCATTAACAAATCTGTGTCTGTCCCTGAGTAAAAAATTCTGGTCTGTCGCGGGAGTAACAATTCGGTGTCCCCAGTAAACAATTTGGGGCCCCCCTCAGTAAAAAAATTTCTGTTTCCCCATTTAACTTTTCTGGGCCCTTTTGAGTAAAAATTTTCTGTTTTCCCTCAGAAACAATTCTGTGTCCCTCAAAAAACCCTTCTGGGGTTTCCCCCTGATTAAAAATTTCTGGGTTCTGTCGGTTTGAGTAAAAATTCGTGTCCCTCAGTAACAATTCTGTGTCCCCTTTTAAAAAAATTTGTTTGTCCCTGAGTAAAAATTCCCTGTTCGCCCGCTCAGTATCAATTCTGTGCCCTCAGTAAAAATTTCTGGGGCCCTCAAAAAAAATTCTGTGCCCCCCTCATTTAACAATTCTGTGCCCCTGTCCCTGAGTAAAAAATTCCCTGTGTCTGTCCCTGAGTAACAATTCTGTGTCCCTCAGTAACAATTCTGTGTCCCTCAGTAACAATTCTGTGTCTTTTCCCTGATTTAAAAATTCTTTGCCCTCAGTAAAAATTCCCGTGCCCCCTCAGTAACATTTCTGTGTTTTTCCCCTGAGTACAATTCTGTGTCTGTGGGGCTGAGTAAAAATTCTGGCCCCTCAGTAAAAATTTTTTTTCTGTGCCCCTCAGAAAAAATTCGGGTGTCGTCCCGAGTAAAAATTCTGTGTCTGCCCGCCCCATTTAAACAATTCTGTGCCCCTCAGTAACATTCTGGCCCCTCAGAAAAAAATTCTTTTGTCCCCTGTAAAAAATTCTGTGTCTGTCCCTGAGTAACAATTCTGTGCCCGGGTCCCTGAGAAACCCAATTCTGTGTCCCTCAGTAAAAATTCTGTGTCCCTGAGAAAAATTCTGTGTCCCCGGGAAAACAATTTTGGGGTCCCTCAGTAACAATTCTGTGTCCCTCAGTAACAATTCTTTTTCTGTCCCTGAGAAAAAAACCCCTGTGTCTGCCCCTGAGTAACAATTCTGTGTCCTAAAAAACTTTTTTCTGGGGCCCCCTAAGTAAGGGTTTTCTGTGGCCCCATTTAACAAATCTGTGTCCCTCAGTAAAAATTTCTGTGTCCCCCAGTAACAATTCTGTGCCCCTCAGTAACAATTCGGGTTCTGCCCCTTTGAGAAAACAATTTTTTGTCTGCCCCTGAGTAAAAATTTCGTTTCTGCCCCTGAGTAAAAATTTCTGTGCCCTGCCCCTAAGTAAAAAATTTCTTTTTGTCTGCCCCTGAGAAAAACAAATTCGTGTCCCTCAGTGGGCAATTCTGTGTCCCTCAGAAAACAATTCTGGTCCCCAGTAAAAAATTCTGGTTTTGCCCCTGAGTAACAATTCTTTTGTCTGTCCCTGAGTAAAAATTTTCTGTGTTTTCCCCTGAGTAACAATTCTGTGTCCTTGTCCCTAAGAAAAAAAAAAAAATTCTGTGTCTGCCCCCTGGGGAACAATTTTTGTGTCCCCCCAGTACCCAATTCTGTGTCCCTGAGTAAACAATTCTGTGCCCCCTAGAAAACAATTCTGGGCCCCCTCAGAAAACAATTCTGTGGCCCCCTCAGTAAAAAAATTCTGTGTCCCTGAGAAACCCAATTTCTGTGCCCCTGAAAAACCAATTCTGGCCCTCATATAGATTCGTGGCCCTAAGTAAACGGGGTGGGTTCTGTGGTCCCCTGTAACTATGCTGTTGTCCAACTGTTATAACGTTGTAGTGGTGGACCCTAAAGGTAACGTTCTGGGAGGGGGGGGGGGGGGGGAAAGACTGTAACAATTCTGTGTCCCTGATTAACCTGTTCTGTGGCCCTAAGGTAATCGGTTCGGTTGGTGGCCCCAGTATAAATTCTACTCTGTGTCCCTCAAGAAAACAAGACTGTGTCCTGTCCGTGAGTAAAAATTCTGTGGTCGGCCTAGAAAGTAAACGTTCTATGGCCCTCAGTAAGTGGGGGGCGCGCGGTTGCGTGTGGTCCCTGTGTAGATAAGGGGGCGTGGGGGTGGGGGGGGGGGGTGGGTTGACAATGGGTCTGTGCCCGGGGGGGTGAGGGCGGTGGATAGGAGTAAGGGAATTCTGGACTGTGGCCCTAAGTAAAAAATCCTGTGTCCCACAAGAAACAATCTGTGGCTGTTCCGTGAGAACAATTCTGTGGGGCCCGAAAAAGGAAACGATCCCTGGTGGCCCTAAGTAACCGGTTCCTGTTGGTCCCTCAGTAAAAAGTCTGACTGTCCCTAAGGTAAACAATTCTCTGTGTCTGCCCCTGTGAGTCAACGTTTCTGTGGCCCTAAGTAACGGATTCTGTGGCCCTCAGTAACAATTCAGTATCCCTCATAAACAATTCTGTCTAATGTCCCCCTGATTAACGCATTCCGTGTTCCCTACGTAACGTGCTACTGTGCCTACGGTAACGATTCTGTGGCCCTCAAGTAACGATTCTGTGTTGCCCTGATTAACGTTTCCTGGTGGCCCTAAGTATGGGTATCTGGTTGGGGGGGCTGGTGGCCTCAGTAAAAATTTCTTTTCCTGTGTCCCCTCAAAGGAATCAATTGCTTCTGTTGTCTGTCCGGGTAATAACAATTCTGGTGGCCCTAAGTAACGTTTCGGTGGCCCTAAGTTAACGATTTTCTGTGGCCCTGATTAACGTTTATATGTGGCCCTCAGTAACTATTTTCTGTGTCTTCCCTGCAGTAAACAATTCTGTTGGTCCCCTAAGTATCGTTCTTCGTTCTGTGGCCCTGTGTCTGTCCCCTGATAACAATTCTGTGGCCCTAAGTAACGTTTTCTGGGCCCTCAGTGGCCCTAATAACAAATCTGTGGCCCTAAGTAACAATCTGTGGCCCTAAGTAACCCCTCAGTAACAAATCTGTGTCCCTCAGTAATCAATTCTGTGTCTGTCCCTAAGTAACAATTCTGTGGCCCTAAGTAACGTTTCTGTGGCCCTAAGTAACGGTTCTGTGTCCCTCAGTAACAATTCTGTATCCCTCAGTAACAATTCTGTGTCTGTCCCTGAGTAACAATTCTGTGTCCCTAAGTAACGTTTCTGTGGCCCTAAGTAACGGTTCTGTGGCCCTCAGTAACAATTCTGTGTCCCTCAGTAACAATTCTGTATCCCTCAGTAACAATTCTGTGGCCCTAAGTAATGTTTCTGTGGCCCTAAGTAACGTTTCTGTGGCCCTAAGTAACGATTCTCTGTGTGGCCCTAAGTAACGGTTCTGTGGCCCTCAGTAACAATTCTGTGTCCCTCAATAACAATTCTGTGTGTGGCCCTAAGTAACGTTTCTGTGGCCCCTAAGTAACGATTCTGTGGCCCTCAGTAACAAATCTGTGTCCCTCAGTAACAATTCTGTGTCTGTCCCTAAGTAACAATTCTGTGGCCCTAAGTACGATTCTGTGGCCCTCAGTAACAAATCTGTGTCCCTCAGTAACAATTCTGTGTCTGTCCCTAAGTAACAATTCTGTGGCCCTAAGTAACGTTTCTGTGGCCCTAAGTAACGATTTGTGGCCCTCAGTAACAATTCTGTATCCCTCAGTAACAATTCTGTCTTTCCCTGAGTAACAATTCTGTGTCCCTAAGTAACGTTTCTGTGGCCCTAACTAACGATTCTGCGGCCCTAAGTAACGTTTCTGTGGCCCTAAGTAACGTTTCTGTGGCCCTAAGTAACGATTCTGTGGCCCTAACTAGCGTTTCTGTGTCCCTAAGTAACGTTTCTCTGTCCCTAACTCTCTCCCTGATTACAGCCAGGTCTGCCTCTGTTGAATGACTGGAGGCAAATGGAGAATTCTAAAATGGCCGCCATTTATAGCTCGACCATTACACTGTGCTGGCTGGCTGGCTGCTGATTGGCTAATGCGATCACATGTCATGAATGAATGCATTATGGGTCAGCGCGCCTTGTCTGCGCGCCTTCCCAGACATCCCCGCTCCGTCGCCGCACATGTCGCCGCCATTTTAGGAAAAATTTCGATTCGCGCATCCGAAGTCTGCTTATTTTCAGATTCGAACGCGAATCTAAATTTTCCTAATATTCGAAACGAATTCCACTCCGCCTACTTCGATTCGCTCATCTCTAGCTATGTCTTTTGCACAAAACAATCAATATATGCTTACTACTAAATTGTGCCAAGTCTTTGACTGTCAGTAATACATAGTTAACACATCCCAAAAGGACACATAGTAGAAAAGAAAAAGAGGAGAAGGGTGGGACTCTCTAGTTACCAAAATACAACACAATTAAGATAAAAAAGTACACCATTTTATTAAACAGAATTAAAAATTATACATAACACAATCTGTAGTGAATTATAGCTCCATGGATAGGTCAATTACGTTCCATCAGGAAAAGTGTCTTCAGGTGAACTTAAAGACCTTGAAACCTCAATGCATTTCAGTTCTTAAAGAGCCTTCATCAGAAGGAAGAAAAATGGTCCTGACAAAGTGTATAGTAAAAAACACATATAGAAAGATACATGTCCTGTATGGCAGGCCTCCAATGGAGTCAGGTGAAGTGAAAAGAATATAGACCCAGTCAATTGACATAGTGTCACATACCTGATGGTAGACTGAAATGACGAGGTCGGCTTCACTTGTGTCACTAGCCCTGACCCCACTGGAGTTGGAACAGAGGGAGTCTAGGGACCAGGGGGACAAGAGCGCCAGTAGTTGTTGTTTGCAGCTCTTGTAGATGATGACCTTGGAAGACTGATGATCTTCTGATTCAGGCACAGTAGTAACAAGCAGGGCAGGTCTTGTAGATTGCCAGGCATGCACCAGAGCAAGGCAGGTAGTGAGGGTAAGAGACAGGAGCAGTGTCATAGGAAAAGCCAGGGTCATCAACAGTCGGGCAGCACGGTACAGAATCAGAAGGAAAGCCAAGCTCAGGAACAGAGCCAAAGTCAGGAACCAGTATCAATCAGGAGAGCAGGTCAGGAAGAAGCCGGGTCAGCGACAAAGGAATCACACAGGAACAAGCAGGACACGGGGGAGCTAAAGACCAGTCAGCACCTAACATTGACACTCTTTAAATAGCCCATCTGGCGCCAATCTTTTCCGTGCGTGTGCGCAATCGCGCATTTCTGCGCGCATGCACACAACCGTCCACTCTTCTCCGGATGTTACTATGCGCATGTGCACTTTTATTCGCAATTCGTCTTGCCGGAAATCCCTTACACATAGAAAATAGAGACAACAAGCCAGAATCGGAATGTGAAGAATTATACAGTGGGGCAAAAAATATTTAGTCAGCCACCAATTGTGCAAGTTCTCCCACTTAAAAAGATGAGAGAGGCCTGTAATTGGCATCATAGGTAGACCTCAACTATGAGAGACAAAATGAGAAAAAAAATCCAGACAATCACATTGGCTGATTTGGAAACAATTTATTTGCAAATTATGGTGGAAAATAAGTATTTGGTCACCTACAAACAAGCAAGATTTGTGGCTCTCACAGACCTGTACCTTCTTCTTTAAGAGGCTCCTCTGTCCTGCACTCATTACCTGTATCAATGGCACCTGTTTGAACTTGTTATCAGTATAAAAGACACCTGTCCACAACCTCAAACAGTCACACTCCAAACTCCACTATGGTGAAGACTAAAGAGCTGTCGAAGGACACCAGAAACAAAATTGTAGACCTGCACTAGGCTGGGAAGACTGAATCTGCAATAGGCAAGCAGCTTGGTGTGAACAAATCAACTGTGGGAGCAATATTTAGAAAATGGAAGACATACAAGACCACTGATAACTCCCTCGATCTGGGGCTCCACGTAAGATCTCACCCCGTGGGCTCAAAATGATCACAAGAACGGTGAGCAAAAATCCCAGGACCACACGGGGGGACCTAGTGAATGACCTGCAGAGAGCTTGGACCAACGTAACAAAGGCTACCATCAGTAACACACTACGCCGCCAGGGACTCAGATCCTGCAGTGCCAGACGTGTCTTCCTGCTTAAGCCAGTACATGTCTGGGCCCGTCTGAAGTTTGCTAGAGAGCATTTGGATGATCCAGAAGAGGATTGGGAGAATGTCATATGGTCAGATGAAACCAAAATAGAACTGTTTGGTAGAAACACAACTCGTCGTGTTTGGAGGAGAGAGAATGCTGAGTTGCATATAAAGAACACCATACCTACTGTGAAGCATGGGGGTGGCAACATCATGCTTTGGGGCTGTTTCTCCGCAAAGGGACCAGGACGACTGATCCATGTACAGGACAGAATGAATGGGGCCATGTATCGTGAGATTTTGAGTGCAAACCTCCTTCCATCAGCAAGGGCATTGAAGATGAAATGTGGCTGGGTCTTCCAACATGACAATGATCCCAAACATACCGCCCGGGGCAACGAAGGAGTGGCTTCGTAAGAATCATTTCAAGGTCCTGGAGTGGCCTAGCCAGTCTCCAGATTTCTCAACCCCATAGAAAACCTTTGGAGGGAGTTGAAAGTTCGTGTTGCCCAGCGACAGCCCCAAAACATCACTGCTCTAGAGGAGATCTGCATGGAGGAATGGGCCAACATACCATCAACAGTGTGTGCCAACCTTGTGAAGACTTACAGGAAACGTTTGACCTCTATCATTGCCAACAAAGGATATATAACAAAGTATTGAGATGAACTTTTGATATTGACCAAATACTTATTTTCCACCATAATTTGCAAATAAATTCTTTCCAAATCAGCCAATGTGATTGTCTGGATTTTTTTTCTCATTTTGTCTCTCATAGTTGAGGTCTACCTATGATGCCAATTACAGGCCTCTCTCATCTTTTTAAGTGGGAGAACTTGCACAATTGGTGGCTGACTAAATACTTTTTTGCCCCACTGTAACTTTAAGAATCCCATAGTCATGGATATGTACCAATCCCAGTGCTGTATATTTATTATTACAGGTACTTATATAGCACTATCAATTTTCTCTTTTACAAAGAATTTTATTATAAAATAGATAGGAGCAGCGAATCAGTCAAAAACAGATACATTGACCAACAGGAGTAAAACATACAAGGTATTCGATGAATATTACAAAATACGTACTGATGGAGAGACATAGAAATAAACAGCATACTTAAGTGCCGAGTACAGAAAGAGGAAAAAAAAAAGGGGAGAAAACAATAAGTTGCAAAAATGGGAAATGTTTATAGACCAATGAGAGTATAAACTCTAAAGGAAAAATTGTCACTATATCAGCATATAGAAAGCGGAGATGATATTTAGATGGAAACTCTGAATAAAAATGGGCATTCCACATGCAGGGCTCCTGATGGAGTCCAGCATAAGGATATAGTATTGCTGGTGCGGCACTCAAAGCAATAATCACAATCAGTACACATAGCATGAAAACAGACTAGACAAAAGGAAAGAGAGGAACGAAGAGGAAGGAGACGAAAACGAAAACAAAAAGGGCTCCAGGGGGATCGCAGCAGAAAAAAAAAAAAAAAAATAAACTGATATGTAAATTTTATATCGACAAAAGGGACTGGTCGAATCTCGATGGTTGGGCTATATCAAGCCAGGGACGCCATGTCTGCAGGAATTTTGTGTGGGTGTCTAACAGTATAGCCGTCAGTTTTTCATTGACCGTTATGAAGTTCATCCAGCTTTTGACAGCTTCGAAGCTGAGGAGGGGAGTCTTCCAAGCCCTTGCGATCGTCAGCTTGGTAGCCATAAACAGGTGTGATGCCAGCTGCCGTTCGGGACGAAGTAGGCCCACTAATGGTTTAAATAAAAGCACTTTAAAAGGGGTTGCGCTTAATGTCTGTGTGAAACATAGTATGGAGAAGGGCATAAACTCTGATCCACAATTTGCAAACCTTAGGACAAGTCCACCAAATATGGACCATAGTACCCATTTGTTGACAGCCCCGAAAACAAGTCGGGGATTATGTAGGGATAAAACGAGCCAGACGAGCAGGTGTGTAATACCATCTATAAAGAACCTTATAAGCATTTTCTAGTATGATAACAT